TGGCATACAGGCCCTGCTGGGGGGCCTTGAAAGGCCTTGCTAACCCTTCCTCCCCAGCCCCTGCTCTTCTTCCTGGGCCCGTTTCCTGGGTTGTGAAACCCTTGTGGCCTCCTCAGCTTGCTTCCGCAGGGGAAGGCCGCCTGGGGAGGCCGTCCTCCCAGCCAGGCTGCTACCCGCCTGCCCAGCTTGGCAGCTTCCGCCACACCCGGCCCCTGCCCTGTTGCAACTCTGCCAGGGCCAGCCCCGCTCCCTGCTGCAGATCACACTGCCCTCACTCCTCCTCCCTTCCTCCGCCTGGGCCTCACGTGCCCCCCCCCCCCCCCCCGCCTCCTTCATTCAACCTTCAAGGCCTTTGTGGGCTGCACTTCGTAGGTCCAAGCGGGGTCTGCATCTCTAGGGGGGCCTAGTCTGACACCATCGCCACCCCGTCTTGGTGGTGCTGTCTCTGGGCAGGCGGCAGGTGCCGCCCCATGGCTGGGCAGGAGAGGTTGCGTTAGAGGGACTCCTCTGCTCCTCAGGGGTCTGTGTAAGGGAGCAGACCTCAGACCCACCGGGTGGCCTCGGCTGATATCTCCTCACCCTGTTTGCTGGAGCTCTGCAGGCCGTCTCTCGCTTGCCTGGCACACTTTCTCAGGGACCTCCCTCCAGGTTCACACACACTCCAAAGCCTGGCCAAGGCCTTTCTCCTCAGGCCCCCTTTGCCCCTCTGTCCAGTGGCATCACCCTGTGGCCTGTGAGGCAGAATCAAATGCCAGGGAAGGGCTGGGGTGGAGGGGCCAGGTCAGCTCTGCGGGCCGGGGACCCTCATTATCTTCGGTTTCCCCATCTATATGTTCACATCAGTCACTAAAGGCCCTTCTCTTGGAGATAGTTTGGCTTGCTGGGTTTTATTTTTCCCCTTTAACAAAAGTCGTTATCAAACAATTCACACACGATTGTAGAAAAATTAGAAAGTGCATTCCTGTTCCTGGTGGTGCCACTGCTCCGGCTGTGTTCCCTCCATGCCTCCTTTGCTGGAACACACTGATGTGCACACATATTTGTCCTCTGTGTCCACGCGCTCCCACTGCCCCAGACTGGCTGGGAGCAGGTTTCCCCACCCCGAGGAGGTGCCCTGCTCTGGCTTGGCCGAGCACCGCCTCTTCTCTCTGGTGCTGGTCTATGGCAGGGTGAGGGCCCTTTTCCCCCTGGGACTGGAGCCCAGCATTGCCAAGCCTTCCCTGTTTGGAAAACCGGACGCTGGCCCAAGCAGCTGGGACGAGAGGGAAGGCAGAGGTTCAGGGTCCGTGTGTGTATAGAAAGGGTAGTTCTCAGGGTCAGCCTAGGATCAGCCTGCAGGGGGCTGGGTGGATAGGCCCTGATCAAGCACAGAGCCTATCTGTGCTTGCCATCCTCCCCTCTCTGCTTTCTCCTGCCACCCTCCCCTCTCTGTTTGCTTTCTCCTTCCATCCTCCTGTCTCCTGCCATCCTCCCCTCTCTGTTTTCTTTCTCTGTCCTCATGAGTGTGCTGTGTGTGCTGCTCCTGGCCCATTTATTTCTCTGCCTCTGCCCCCTCTTCCCCTTCATCTCCTCTTTCTGACATGGCAGGCCTGGATTCAAGTCCTTCTTCTACCATGTACTGTCCGGGTGACCTGAGGCAAATCACTTAGCCTCTCTGAGCCTGTTTTTTCATCAGTAAAATACCCACCTTCCGGACCTGCACAGGGATAGAATATGCGAATGCAACTACACAGCCTCAGAAAATGATAGTCTTTCGGGGGCTCTGATAGTTGCACCCAGGCCCTTTGAGTCCAAGTCCAGTGCTCTGTGTTTCAGTGGGCTGCCTTCACTTCAGGTTAGCGAAGCAGCAGCATAGAGACTCGGAGCCCACAGGCAGCTGGGCTGGCCTCAACTGGTTCCAAGGAGATAGTCCCCATGGAATCCTGTGTAGTGTCCAGCCCCTGCCACCTCCATGGCCCTGCAGAGCAGTGATGAGGCTGAGCCCCTGGCCTTCCTCTGGGGCCTATGAGCCTGGGCCTATTTGCATGGGGCTATAAATAGTTGGCACACCTTGCTTTTGTGCCGTTATTTCACCTCCTGGCCTTCCCGCCAGTGTGCAGACATCCTATGAGGTGAGTGGGCAGCCCTGGCTCCGCTGAGCAGTGGGGGCCTGGTGTGCAGGGACCCAGGGTCTCTCAGAGTCACACAGTGGTGGAAGGAGATGCCGGCTCACGGGGTCTCTCTCCCTCCTAGGGTCTGGGCAGTACAGTTGAGGTAGAGGAGGTGATAGAGCCTGGCAGGACTCACGCTCTGGTTTTAGACCTAGGAATCAGGGCGAGGTCTCCCTCCCTGTGGCACTGTGGCCTGGTGGTACAGGTTTGGGGCCAGGGCCCACTGTGGTTGTGGTTTTCCCCTGGTGGCTTCTAGCTAACTGTGAGCCAGCAGCTGCTCTGAGAGTGGCTGCAAAGAGCTGGAGGCTCAGCCCGGGCTCTGACACCCCCATTCTCTCCTCCTTGTGACTGGGTGGTCTGCATGGACAGCTCCTGGCAGGCCACCTGGAGGCCAGCGAGGCGTGGAGTCTGTGGGCCGTCTGGGCTGGGCCCCACGGGGAGGCAGGAGAGGAGGAGCCGCCAGCAGGTGTTTGCCACTTCAGGGCGAGCAGCTCTGTGTTCCAGAGACTTGGCTGCCCTGACTGAGAAGGGGGCTCAGCTATCAGGACTGTCATCCCAGGCGGGCGGGTGGGTGAAATAGATGCGGTGGGGGGTGTGAGGATGCTTCATGCACCGAGAAGGGAGGTGCACGGGTGAGAAATGGGTGCTGAGGCCAGAAGTAGCGGCAGCATTAACAAGACCCCACCTCAGGCCTGTGGGGTTGATGTTGGCTCTTGTCCAACACAAGTTCTTGTCATGATGGGCCTGCACTAAGGGACCCTCGTCATCTGGGAATGGGGGCTGACTGAGCCTCAAAGGGGCCAAGAACCCTGCATGGAGCCCCACAGCCCGGGCAGCATTGGAGTTAGGGTGTTGCCACTGGGCAGCTTGACCATTATTTTGCCCCCAGGACCTGCCCTGGCCTCCTCCCCTCAGGAGCCAAGCACCTTTGTCCCTCCCCACCTCCCACTCAAGCCTCATTCCCTGTGTCACTCAGAAAGTCCAGCATTGCCCCAGCTGGTCTCCAGATTATTGCCCCAGCTGGTCTCCAGGTTATTGCTCCAGGTGTATTGTCCCAGCTGCATCTCCAGGTTATTGCCCTGTTCTCGATTGTCTTGTGAGGAAGCATGCGGCTGAGCCATGTCTGCTGGGCTCAGACCCAGAGAAGTGGGTGCAGACATGTAGCACTGTGTGCTGTGCAGGGAGGGGCCCTGCCCCTTCTTCTGGACACTCAGGGAGCACTCACCTGGCTGCTCCAGGCATTGGACGCTGGGCCAGGCAAGGTGGCAGGAGGGGCATGATGGCCTTTCTGCCTGGAGGTTTGGGACGCTCACCCAGACTCTCACAGCCACTCCCAGTCAGACCCATGCAGCTCAGTCCTCACGTCAACATCACCTGAGTGCCCACCACCTGCCGCCCACTCCATGTCCTCGCAGGCACACACATCTCCTCACACACTCTAACTCGCACACTCACGCACACTCAGCCCACAGCTGGCTCTCCTCCCTTCTATTGGGAGGTCCTGGTGGCTGGCCTGGCTGGACTCAGGATGAAGACTTTGGGGCCTGGGCTCAGATGTGAGTTCACACCCCTCCCCCCACCTCACTCCCTCTGAGTAGGAGCCAGGCCCAGGCAGGGGACATGACGGTGTCTGCCCGCCCCCCATCCCCGCCAGCCCCCTCTTCTCTGCTCTGGCTGCTGGCTTCAGAGGACTGGCCAGAGTGTTGGGCTGGACTGCAGGCTGAGGTCAGTGTTTCCTGTGAGCTCATCTGGCTGGGAGCTCCCAGCAGACCTGCTGTGCTCTGGCTGCTTAGGGAGGAGCCAAGGGATCCTTCCCTGGGCAGGGTGGCTGCTGCATGTGAACACATACGTGTGCAGGGGAGGGGTCAGTGCCTGAGTTCAGGATGGAGGAGGAGTACATATGTATGTGCATACACATGACTGTGTGTCCCTTCAACCTATGTGGCGCCGAAACCCCAAGCCAGTGTCCAAGCAGGTTGTGTGAGTGTGCACCCACGGGCTTGCACAGGTGAGCATCCCTCACGAAATACAGCCCGGAAGACCCCCAGGGTCTTCTCCTGAAGTGACCCTTGATGTGAGGAAGGGAGGAGTGTGGGGCGAACTGGTGTGGTCTAAAAAGCAGATTCAGCATTGCATTGAGCATTAAAATCGTTTTATATTTAGGAAATGATTTGTTTGAAAGTGCCGGCAAACTTCCGGGAAGGCGAGAGGCCCTGACGCTCAGGGGCTCGGGCTCAGAAGGGTCAGGCCACGGCCGTGGGCGGGGCCGCGCACTGCCCGGGCCTCTGAATGAAGCGGGCGCTCCGTCCGTGGAACTCTAACGTTAGGTCCTGGCGTGGCTTCCCAGTGTCCGTTTCCCCATTTGAAAAGTGGATGTGGTCATTTTGGCCCTGCGTGTCTTTCTGGGTGTTTAGGAGCAGACATTTTTTTAAAACCAAGAAGGGCTGAGTGGGCAGGGGGTGGGAGGAAGAGGCGCTGTCCTTCACATCTCGGCCCGCACAGGCTGGGTGCCAGGCACGGAGCAGTAGGTGTGCTCAGCGGGGCATTAAAGGAAGCATGGGATGACTTTACAGGTGGTTTTGTAAGGGGGTTCCCGCCTGGAGTCGGGGTCCCCAACCAAGGGGGCTGTGCCAACCAGCTTTCACCTGCTGTTCCATCTTCTAGGTTTACCAGGGATGCCACAAAGCTTGGCTCACTAAAACTTTTCAACTTCAACATTTTAAGCACCGTGTGGACCAAACTCAGTTCTGAGAGAGCTCTGAGGGGAATGGATACTGACCTGTTCCCGCTGGCCCTGCCCTGATGCCTGCTCACCCATTCTCCCTCCCCTGCCCCATCACAGGCCCCAACATGGCACCGTTCCTGCGCATCGCCTTCAACTCTTATGAGCTGGGCTCCCTGCAGGCCGCGGACGAGGCGAGCCAGCCCTTCTGTGCTGTGAAGATGAAGGAGGCACTCAGCACAGGTAGTGCTGGAGGCTGGACCCTGGGAGGCACAGCAGCCAGGGGAGCTGGGAGCCTGGGCCTAGTGGGGGGCAAAGGCGGGGCCCAGCCTTGAACCTCTGAGGGATCCTTCCTCAACTTCGTCTCCCTGCCCAGCCCAGCTATGGAGGCTGGATAGCTACCAACTGCATGGAGCCCTCACTGGGGCTGGAGGCTCTGGCTCCTCCTCACCCAACAGTTTCCACATGTCCATGTGCCAGGCCCTGCGCTGGGCACCGAGGACACCACAGTGCTCCAGGGACGGCCTGGCCCTGCCCTCATGGGGCGCTCCGTCAGGTGGGGGAGCCAGACCATGAGTCCGGTGAAAGGCTGGAGTCAGGGACGTGGTCCTGGGAGGGCAGACCATTCCTTCTTGCTTCTGCCTTCATCTGGTGAACCCTGGCTCACCTTCTAGGTCTCTGCTGAGCTGTCTCTTCCGGGAGCTTTCCCACCCCTTAGGCCGGGGCAGGCCCCCCTCATGGGTGGGCCTGGAACTGGCCTTGCCCACCCCAATTTTAGGACAGCTAGGATTTAACATTTATTGGAGGCACCAGCTGGCCCATGTCTCTGCTGGTGACTGAGGCTCCAGGAGGGCAGGCACCCAGGTGTAACTTTTCATTCTGCCACGTTCCTTGCCTCCCAGATAGTGGCTGGCATGAGGCAGCTTTCAGCACAGGTTCACTGAGTCAGTGCACAGGGAAGGGGGCATCTGGGTGGGACTGGACGAAGAGGGAACAGCAGGGGCAAAGGCCTGGCGATGGGACCTGACAGGACCCACGAGGAGCCGCCACGGTTCTGTGTCCAGGCGTGTGTTGTGAGAGGAGGAGGCTGGTGAGGTGAGCAGAGGCTGAACAGTGGGACTCAGTCAGTCACATGGGCCATCGGGAGAGAGCCGGGCGGGTTCTGTCCGGGCTGAAGCCTGTGGGAAGTCTGGAAAGGGAGGGACAGAGGGGCCCTCGCCTGATGTGACTGGCTCGGCCCTCGCTGCAGAGCGCGGGAAGACGCTGGTGCAGAAGAAGCCCACCATGTACCCCGAGTGGAAGTCCACGTTCGACGCCCACATCTACGAGGGCCGCGTCATCCAGATCGTGCTGATGCGGGCAGCCGAGGACCCCATTTCCGAGGTGACGGTGGGCGTGTCCGTGCTGGCCGAGCGCTGCAAGAAGAACAACGGCAAGGCCGAGTTCTGGGTGAGAGCCGCCGTCCTGTATGCCTGTGTGTGCGTGCGTGCGTGCGTGCGTGCGTGCGTGCGCACACGGGGAGTGAGCGTGGCTGCTGGGTGCAGCTTTGCAGCTGAAACAGCTGAGTTCGAATCCCAGCGCTGCAATGTACCAAATCCTGGCTTTTCCATAAAAAGGAGAAGCTGCTAAAAGACCCTACCTCAGTGTTGGTCGCTCAGATGAAATGAGTGGCTGGGTGTAAAGGGCTGATTGCAGAACCTGCACAGGGTGGGAGCTAAAGAGAGCCAGCCCTGTTATTGAAACCACCTTTTTTCCCTTTTGGTTTTGTAAAGGTAGGGTGTGCCCATAGGAAAACATTCCGCACTGTACCTAAAAGCGAGTCCGGCCCTAACCCCCGGCCCAGGGCTCCCTTCTCAGAGGCACCCACTGTTCCCAGTGCCGTTGAGAATCGCTGCAGGTAGTCCAGGCCCGGGCAGGCACTCGGAAATGGCAGCTATGATCTTCCCCACAGCGAGAAGGGGAAGGCGGATGGTCCGTCACTCACCTGCCAAGCCACACATGTGGCCACAGCTGCCAGCACTGGCCGAGAAGCCCCACCCCCCAGGGTCACATGTGGTCTCCTGCAGCCAAGATGTCCCCGCTAGACAAGGCTTGTGACCATCAGCCCCCAGGAAGGGCTGAAGGCATTGGGCCAAGAGAGTTGGCTCAGGGCTGCACTGACCCTTGGTCAGTCAGGCAGCGGCCCTTGCTGACCTCTCTGCCACTACCCCGAGGCACAACGTCAGTCACCAGGCCTGGGCTCCTGGGAGGGGAGGCTCCTGCCCTTAGAACCAGCCAGTCTGTCGAGGAGACAGACACGCGGGAGCTCTGACGGTCAGAAAGCCAGCACCTGTGGAAGGAGGCGGGTGCCGGTGCCTCCGCCGGTGCAGGGGGACACGGGGCCTTGGTTCTGATATCCCTGTGAAGGGGCAGCGGTGTTGAGGGCGGGGAGTTTCCCTTCCCCACTCTGTTCCCAGGCCACGCGGCCAGGCTGGGTGTGGGGTGGATCCTTTCACTTCCCCAAATGTAATAATACCCCTGAGTGGGGGGTGGGGGCGGGGCTCCGGGGCGGGGCCTGTCCCTGCCCACACCAGGCAGACAGGTGCCCCGGGAGACTGCCCAGACTCCCATGGCCTTGGGGGTCCGGCCATGGGGGCGGGTTCCGAGTCGGGCTGGGCCCCGGGCCCGCCCTCACTGACCCCCCACACCCTCACCCCCACAGCTGGACCTGCAACCCCAAGCCAAGGTGTTGATGTCTGTGCAGTATTTCCTGGAAGACGGAGGTAAGACTTGCCCTCCCTGGGCTGAGGACCTGGGTTCGGAGGCCAGAGCCGGGACTGAGGTGTACAGAAGCGGCCACCGGGGAGGGCTGCGGGCTGTCCCCTGTGGCTGACCTCCCCCTCCCTTGGCCCCCAGATTGCAAGCAGTCTCTGCGAGGTGAAGACGAGTCCGCGTTCCCAACGATGAACCGCCGTGGAGCCATCAAACAGGCCAAGATTCACTACATCAAGAACCACGAGTTCATCGCCACCTTCTTCAGGCAGCCCACCTTCTGTTCCGTGTGCAAAGAGTTCGTCTGGTGAGGGCCGGCCGTGCCCGCCAGGGGGCGGGGGGGCGGGGGGCCACCCCCGGAGCCGCCCCTTCTCACCCTGCCTGGGATTTGCCTTTCAGGGGTCTCAACAAGCAAGGCTACAAGTGTAGGCGTAAGTGTCTCCACAACCTGGTTCGTATGCACATGTGTGTGCATGAGTGCGTGCCTGGCAGCGCCTGTGTCTCCAGCGTGTGCACGGGAGGTTTCCCACACCAGAGTGCATGTGTGAACGATGGCTGTGGTCCGTGAGGGCAGGAGCGAGGGCGGTTCAGGAAGCCAATTCTGCATGCCTCCCTCTTCCGAACTCTTCGCAATGTGACATCACATTGGTGGCCTGGAATAGGTCACAGTGGAGAATTCACAGAGAAGTCAGCCCCCTTCCCCCAGAGAGGCTGTCAGGCCTCGACCGGCACGCCCCTGCCGGTGTGTGTGCCTCTGTTAGATGCGTGTGCATCTCGGTGCCCACGGACGAGTACGCCTTTCTCCACGAGGGCGCCTACACCAGGCAGTGCGGGCTGGCCGTTATGAGCACAGGCTCTGGGGCCAGGCTGCCTGGGTTTGAATCTGGCTGTACCATTTCCTCACTGTCGGGCCTTAGGCAAAGTTACTCAACCTCTCTGGGCCTCAGTTTTCTCATCTGTAAAATAGGGATAATAGTGCCACTGTGGAGATCAAGAGGGATAAAATATGTAGAGCTGTGTTTTCAGTGTGGTTGGCACATGGTAAGCATTCTATGTAAGAAGCCTTGTCATGATCGCCCATGCTGTGTGTATGTGCTTGTATGTCTGAGTTAGGGTGCATCTGTCTGTGTATGCACGGGCACGAGAGAGTGCTTAGGAGCTATTTGCTGTCCCGGGGCCTAGAAGAGGGAAAGGGGGGCTCCCTTGCCTCCGGTTCTCTCACTGCAGTACCCCATGCCCCTCACTTCTGCCCCCCTCCCTGCCCACCGGGACTCCTTAACCCTTTCCTAAACTCAGAGAGCCACCAGATCGGCCTGTCCTCCCGCCCCATCCTTCTCAGGCCCCTCCTTCGGGGGCTGGCAGGAAGAGAGGAAAAACCAAGCTCTGGGCCGAGGCCTCTGTGGGGCGAGGGTGTGGGCGGTTGGGAGAACAGTGGCTTTGTGTCGGGGGCTGGACTGGGCCTGCTCACAGACTCTGCCCTTCCCGGTGCCTTCCCATCCCCCTCCTGGGCCTGCGCCTCCTCAAGAATGCAACGCCGCCATCCACAAGAAATGCATCGACAAGATCATCGGCCGGTGCACCGGCACCGCCACCAATAGCCGGGACACCATAGTGAGGCTGGGTCCGGGGCGGGGCCCGGGGACCCGGGGGGGGGGGGGGGGGGGGCTGGCCTGCTGGGAAGGGTTTGGGCTCTCCCTCCCTCTTCCTTGTGGGGCTCACCTATCCCCCCCTGTTTTTCCTGTTCCTTCCTTGGATCTCAGGGTTGCCCAGTCCCCGGTGAAATCCTATTGGCTTCTTGCCGTGCATGGGGTTGGGGGAGAGCGAGGGGTTGAGGAAGGGGCTGGAGCTGCCCTGTGACCCTCGGCCTGTGATCCCTCCACCCCAGTTCCAGAAAGAACGTTTCAACATCGACATGCCGCACCGATTCAAGGTTTACAACTACATGAGCCCCACCTTCTGTGACCACTGTGGCAGCCTGCTCTGGGGGCTGGTGAAGCAGGGATTAAAGTGTGAAGGTGCGTGGGAAAGGATTAGAGTGCAAAGCTCTTGGGCTGGGGGGAGGAGCGGGGGTGCTCCCCGCTGTGCCTACCCACTGGACCCCGTGAGCTCCACCGATGCCGCCTGTGCCCGCACGCTGGGGAGGCCGCGGGGAGCCCTTCCCACTGGCCCGATGGCTCCGCCGTTTCCCTGCTGTGTGACCCCTTGGCGGGAGGCCCCACTTCTGTGAGCTCGGCCAACCTTGGGCTCAGCAGCTCAGCGTAGAGTAAGACCCAGAGTCGCTGCTGCACAGAGCAGGTGCTCCCCAAACGCAGAGGAGAAACAGGGACCCCTGCAGGAAAAGGGACTCGTCTGGGGTGGCCCGCACATTCTCTGGAGGGTCGGAATTACGTCCCATATCTTTGACTACTTCTTCTTTAAATAGTGAAGGATTGGAAGTGGCTTCAGATACATTTTCCTCTAAAGACAGAAAACCCAGCAGCCCCCACCAAAGCCCTCTTCCTCCTCTCCCCCCCCCCCCCCGTCCTCTCCTCCACCCCTCCCTGCCCTGGGCTGGGCCCGCTGGCTGCCCTGCCCAGACAGGGGCCTGACGGGCCTGCTTCTCCCTCCCCCCAGACTGTGGCATGAACGTGCACCACAAGTGCCAGAAGAAGGTCGCCAACCTCTGTGGCATCAACCAGAAGCTCTTGGCTGAGGCATTGAACCAAGTCAGCCAGGTGGGCAGCACCGTGGGAACCGGGGACAGAGGACCATGGGGTTGGGGGTCAGGGCTCACCCCCACACCTGGGGAGCCACAGTGGGGGGACGTTATACCCAAGACCCCACTTCTGGAAGGTCCAGCTCAAGGATTAGGGCAGCAGAGGGAGGTGGGCTTACCCCCTTAGGAATTGGTTATTCCAGCAGTTCTGTGCTTGAGTGTGAATCTGGGAGGGTCAGCGTGGTGCAAGGTTGAAGCACTTGAAACTAAAAGCCTTTGTGTGTGTGTGTTTTCACGTATGTTGGGTGTGGTGGGGCTCAAGGGAAGGCACAAAATTTTAAGGTGAAACTCTAGAATCAATCACAAGTGGAGGCAACACAAACATCTGTTGAATAACTGGTTGGGAAGGTGGTATCCAGTTTGCAAAACTTTTGTTTGTAATTTGTAATCTGCTTTCCAGACCACCCAGTGTTTCTGAGCCGCTGGCAGAGAGAGAGCGTGTGTGTGTGTGTGTGTGTGTGTGTGTGTGTGTGTGCGCGTGCGCACGCGCACACGCATGCACTGCTTGGGGGGGTCTTGCATTGGTGTGGCCAACCGTCTGGCCCCTCACCTGCCATCCCCTTTTCCAGAAAGCCCCCCGGAAATCAGAGGCGGAGCCTGCAGAGCCTTTTGGGATCTACCAGCATTTTGAGAAAAAACTAGGATTCTTGGGAAATTTTTCCCTAGATAAAGGTCTGTTTCCCCCCCCGGAAAGTCCCTACTTCCCACTAGGGCCGAGGATGGGGGCCTGGCCACCCTGGGAAAGGAGCCCCTTCCTCTCTGAGGGCCCCACCGCAGCCCGCCCCTGGGTCCCAGGGGAGGGGACTCTGCGGCCGAGAACTGAGTCTGAAGTGCCGTCTCCATCTCTCCAGCGGACTCTGGGACTTACGGCAAGATCTGGGAGGGCACCTCCAAGTGCAAAATCGAGCACTTCACCTTCCACAAGGTCCTGGGCAAAGGCAGCTTCGGGAAGGTGAGAGGCCGCCGGCCCTGAGGCAGCCCCGGGGACCTGGCTGGGTGGGGGCTCCGGCGCCCTGGCCCTCGGCCCGGGCCTGTCCCGCTCAGCAGCCCCACTCACCCGCCCGCCCTCCCGCCAGGTGCTGCTCGGGGAGCTGAAGGGCAAAAAGGAGTTCTTTGCCATCAAGGCCCTCAAGAAGGACGTGGTGCTGATCGACGACGATGTGGAGTGCACCATGGTGGAGAAGCGGGTGCTGGCGCTCGCCTGGGAGAACCCCTTCCTCACCCACCTCTACTGCACCTTCCAGACCAAGGTGCGGACCTTCCCACCGCCACTGCCCCAGGAGCCACAGATAGCTCCCCTGGGCCTCCCGCTCAGACCGCTGAGGCCAGGGCTGTGTCCCCGCCTCGTACTCCCCGGGCAGGGCCATGTCCCCCTCTCTCCCCACCACGTCCCCCAGGCAGCGGCCCTCCCCTTCCTGCGCCTCTGCTCACCCCCCTCCCCACCCCAGGACCACCTGTTCTTCGTGATGGAGTTCCTCAACGGCGGGGACCTGATGTACCACATCCAGGACAAGGGCCGCTTTGAGCTGTACCGGGCCATGTGAGTGCGGGCCCTGCCGGGGGAAGAGCCCTCTGCTCACCTCTCCCTCTCCCTGGAGAGGCCACGCTGGGCTAGAGCCGGCCGGGTCCCACCGTATGGGACCCCTGGGTGGTGGGTGAGCTCTGGCTGGGGGCACAGCACGCACATGCTGGCTCATGTCCCCTCCTGGGACCTCAGCCAGGGCAGCCACACACGATGATCCTGCACAACATAGGACCTGATGTGACCCGCAGGCTAGCATGCACTCTCTAACTGTGTGTGTGTGCGTGTGTGTGTGTGTGTGTGTGTGTGTGTGTGTGTGTTTGTACATCAATATAAATGCATGCACGCTTACAATAGAAAATTGTCTTATTTGGAGCATTTTCTTTATAATTTTCTTTGCTGCCTTGGCTGGTAGCCTCTACTTGCCTGATACAAGATGTGCTTGACCAGGCCCAGGTTGTCCATGGAGTCATTTGCAGCATTTCCCGCCCCTGGAGGTGGGGATGAGGGACCAGGGAGAAGCGAGGGCTGGTCAGCAGAAATCCCAGAACACTTTGTCTCTCTCTCTCTCTCTCTCTCACATCCAGGTTTTATGCTGCTGAGATCATCTGTGGACTGCAGTTTCTACACAGCAAAGGGATCATTTACAGGTACGGGGTGGTAGAGAGGCGGGGACGGAGGTGGGGGTGTGGGCAGCTTTCAGGAAGGGAAGCTCAAACCCATCACATCCTTTGAAATGCTCTGAGTGGAGCCCACCCCGCTGTGGTCCCATCTCCACTGGGAGTCAGAGTTTAGTTGGATATTTGCCTCAACCTCCTACTCCATTGCTAGAATTCCTGGTGGCCCCTCAGTGGAGACTGGCATTGCTCCAGAGGCTGGGAACTCACTGCCCACCTCGTACAGAGCCCATTGGCGGGAGTGTGGCACCGAGTGGCACAGTGTCTCCCTCAGTGCAGTCACTCCCATGCTGAAGCCATCGGAGCATTCTCAGCTTCCACCAATAGGAACTGGCTCCGTAAATTCCCACCCAATAAGTACAGTCCCATCCGACAGCATTTTACTGTGCACTCATCAAAATGCCTGAAGCCGCTGGGCCGGTGGCTCAGTGGATAGAGCGTCAGCCTGTGGACTGAAAGGTCCCAGGTTCGATTCCGGTCAAGGGCATGTACCTCAGTTGTGAGCACATCCCCAGTGGGGAGTGTGCGGGAGGCAGCTGATCGATGTTTTTCTCTCATTGATGTTTCTAACTATCCCTCTCCTATCCTCTCTGTAAAAAATTAATAAAATATGTTTAAAAAAAAGAAAGAAAGAAAGAAAGAAAGAAACATCAATGATGAGAGAATCATTGATTGGCTGCCTCCTGAATGTCCCTACTGGGGATTGAGCCCACAACCCCAGCATGTGCCTTTGATTGGAATCAAACCCGGGACCTTTCAGTTCTCAGGCCAACACTCTATCTGCTGAGCCAAACCAGTGAGGTTTATTATGAGCTTTGTCCACACCTAGACTGGCTCTGGGGAGGGCCAGGCCATCGAGGTGAGTGGAGGGTGGTCTGCGTATGTGCTGTTGACCCTTTTCTGGTACTTGTTACCATGTGCATAAATTATCTGGTCAAACAACAACTACATAAAGTAGGCACGGTCCCTGCCCGGTCCCTGCCCTTGTGGAGTCGCACAGAGCTGAACCCAGGGCCACTTCCACGGCGGCCAGCGGGGTGACCTGGGCCAGCAACAGCGCCTCTCGGAGCTTCCTCTGGGGCTTGGAGAGCAGGTCGGCGTGTGCCCAGCCTGTAACACCCAGTGGGTGGCTCCCCCGAAGCACCTATCTTGGTGCCTCTTTCTCTCCTGCTGCCCTCTCTCTTCCTCCTCCCCTGGCCCGAGGGGGAAGAGTTCTAGACTTACGGGACTGGAAACCGGGGCTGGGTCAGGGGGGGAATTGGCTCCTGAAGACCCCTCCCTCTCCTTCCCCCTCAGGGACCTCAAGCTGGACAACGTGATGCTGGACCAGAACGGCCACATCAAGATCGCCGACTTCGGGATGTGCAAAGAGAACATATTCGAGGATACGAAGGCCAGCACCTTCTGCGGTACCCCTGACTACATCGCCCCCGAGGTGAGCTGGCCGCCGCCCGCCCACCTGCCCCGCCTCCAGCCCAGGCAGACACCTCGCTCAGCAGGGGGGCCCAGGAGGGCCTCCCGGAGACAGGGGTGTCTGCACCAGCCAGGAGGGCGAGGAGGCCCGGCCGGGCTCGTGCTCCCACCCCGCTCAGCTCCCGCTCCTTCTCCCGCCTCAGATCCTGCAGGGCCAGAAGTACTCCTTCTCCGTGGACTGGTGGTCCTTCGGAGTCCTCCTCTACGAGATGCTCATTGGCCAGTCCCCCTTCCACGGCGACGACGAGGACGAGCTTTTCGAGTCCATCCGAGTGGACACGCCGCATTATCCCCGCTGGATCACCAAGGAGTCCAAGGATATCCTGGAGAAGGTGGGCGGCCTGGGCGGGCTGGGCTGGGCTGGGCAGGGGCAGGAAGCGGTAAATACGGGGGCGTGGGAATGCCAGGAGCCTCTGGAACAGCAGCCTCCCCGACGCCCCGGTCCTGACATGTTGGGGGGTTGCTCTCTCGCCGGGGTCGCAGGAGCTCCTGTCCGAGTAGCCGGCACTGAATCGGCCCGTCATGGCGACTGTGAGTTAGGTCAGGACACGGACAGACCTGAGGCGAAGCGCTCAGTCTGTCTCCTTATCTGCACAGTGGAGCTGTGCAGGCACCCGAGTTGCTGGGAAGAAATCATAAATGTGTGGTGCTCCAGTCTGTGCCAGGCAGACAGCAAACCCTCAGTAAACAGCCCCTGCTTTTACTCGAGTCCCGGGCCCCCCACCCCATCCATGACCTGTGGTCTCGGGGGGGCACCTGGGAGCACAGTGTGCCAGAGACCAGGCCCTCAGCTCCGGTGGCCTGGGCAGCAGCCCTGGGCTGAGCCTCCCCGCTTGGGTGCCCTGGGTCTGCTTGGGTGTGTGCTGAGGGTCCAATTCCCTACAGCCCTCAGGTGCTAACCGGGGCCCCTTCTGGGTTGCAGCTGCTTGAAAGAGACCCAGACAAGAGGCTGGGGGTGACTGGGAACATCAAAACCCACGCCTTCTTCAAGACCATCAACTGGACCCAGCTGGAGAAACGTCAGGTGGAGCCGCCCTTCAAGCCCAAAGTGGTACGTGACCCAGCTTCCCTCCGCAGGGGCCACGCACTCCGAGTTGTCCGCTGCCTCTCTGCTGTGTCGTTCGCATGCTTTCACCTTCCCTCCTTCCAGCAAACCTGCTTCCCCACCCACTCCCCTGGCACATTCAGGCACAGGCTCTACCCTGATAGCCTCACCCTCCCTCCCCTCACTCAGTCATCCAACAAACCCCGGGAACTCTGGATCCAGCCAGTTACCTACATTTCTTAGTGCCGCTGTGTGCAGGGGACGGTGCTCCCTCCGTCCCTCCAATCCACTTTCCAATCAGTGTTGGAAACGCTGAGTGCCTGTAGGGTGCACACTGTGCTGAGCTGCTCAGCAAAGTGGGAGGCCCAGGCCCAGAGCTGGAGAAGGCCCAGCTCCACAGAGATAAGAAACATGAACACAGATGACCATTCCTGATATGACACAACACATGATGAGCAGGAGCCCAGAAGGCATCAAAAGGGTGCATCTGAGAGGAAGTGGGACATGGGCAGGGCGGGGGGGGTGAGGGGGGTGTCTGGGAGGCGGTTCAGGTAGAGGAGGGGTGATTCACACGAAGGCCCAGAATCCACCGAGGCCACCAAGGAGCCAGCGGGAGAGCGGAGAAAGGCTGGGGCCAGAATTCTTTTTAATCTCGGAAGTCGGACTCAATGGCCCTTCCCCCTGATCACAGTTCCACCTTCCCATTCCCTTTCTCTCTGTGTCCCCTCCTCCTCCAGGACACGCTGTCCCACCGGGCAGCCTGTGTGCCGTGATGTGTCCATCATTGTGCCCAGAGGTCACAGAGCACTTTTACTGCTCAGTGACGCCTCCCGGGCTGGGCACTCACCCCCAGGCGAGGCCGGCTGCAGGAGAATCCACAGCGGCTCTCAGACTCACTGTGACAGGAAGAGGGACAGGCCTACAGATGGCAGGCGGGGTGCTGAGTGGCAGCTGGCCAGTGGACAGAGTGGGCCTGTGGCCCGTGGCCCAAGCAGGCTTCAGCGCCAGGAGCGGATGAGCCAGGACATGGGGCCAAAAGACCAGAAATCTGGGTTCTTATATCAAATGGCCCAGTTTTAAAATTCTGGCTCAGATGCCATGAAACCCACTGCTAGTCAAAATTATGTACTTGCCAGCTCGGTTTGGCCTGAGGCCACCGGCTTAAGATCTCTGTCACTATTTCATGTGTCCTCAGAGGCAGAACTGGCGAGCTTTTCTTGTGACCAGCCCCATAGTAAATACCCTAGGCCAGCAGTCACCAACCGGTGGTCCGTGGACCTCTGGTGGTCCGTGAGGTCCAGAAGGTTGGCAGCTGCTGCTCCAGGCTTTGCGGGGCACATGGTCTCAAAGCAGCCTTAGGTGGTATGTCGACGAGTAGGTATGGGCATGTACTAATAAAACTTTATTGCTTGGCTGGTGTGGCTCAGTTGTTGAGCATTGACCCATGCACTAAGAGGTCCCAGATTCAATTCCCATTCAGGGCACGTGTCCAGATTTGTGGGCTCAGTCCCCAGCAGGGGGCATGCAATAGGTAGCTGGTTGATGTTGATGCATCGATGTTTCTCTCTGTCTCCCTCTCCCTTCCTCTCTCTCTAAAGTCAATAAAAACCTATTTTTAAAAAAGCAGAAAACTTCATGCACACTGAAATGTGAATTTCATTTCATTTTCCTATCATATTGATAAAATAGTATTCTGCTTTTGCCTTTTTCCTAGACATGGAAAACTATAAGAGCCAGTCTTAGCCTGTGGGACTCACAAGCTAAGAAACAGGTGGCGGACGGGGTCCGGCCCTGAGCTGCAGTTTGCCAGACGCTGCTCAGGACCTGCTGCCCTTTCCCTGCCCCGGCATTGGTTCCCCGCTGGCCTCCCTCCCCCTCGGAGACCGCAGCCACTTCTGGCGGGGCCTCTCTCAGGCTGGCGGGAAGGACTCCCTTTTCTGGTCCCGCTAAGGACGGCGCTGGCCTGCCCAGCCCGACGGGGTCCGGGTGTGTGGGAACCTCGGAAGGCTGCCCCTCGGGCCCTGCTCACCCGCCCTACCTTGTGCCCACAGAAGTCCCCTGGAGACTTCAGCAACTTCGACCAGGACTTCCTGAACGAGAAGCCACGCCTGTCCTACAGCGACAAGAACCTCATCGACTCCATGGACCAAACGGCGTTCGATGGCTTCTCCTTCATCAATCCCAAATTCGAGAGGCTCTTGGAAAACTGAGGTTCCCAGACATGCCACCCCAACCCATCCCAGCCATGGAGCCTGCATCCATCAGCACTGCCTGCCCACCCAGCCCGGGCAGAGCAGGCTTGGTCCCCTGCATCAACACCTGCCACCCTACACCCTGTCTCCCCACCCCAAGCAGCACTGTGACTGGTGAGTTCAGCTGCTGCTCACCCCCTCACACCCAGGAGGGCCTCGGCTCCTGTCTGTCTGGGCTCTTAATGGTACTTCTTCTGTGAACTGAGTGTGAATTTGCTTTTCCTCTGCCCTCGGGAGGGAAACTGTAAATCCTGTGTTTCATTACTTGAATGTAGTTATCTATTGAAAAGATGTATTATATATACGCATATATATGTATATGTATATGCTCACACACACATATAACAAGCTGTATATATTGCTCAGTAGAGAAAAATAACTTGGGGTAATGTGTTGATCTTTTAAAATATATATATATATGACAAGAAAAAAAGAAAAGGGAGCACAATCTGTTGGAACCACCCGGTTCTTTTGTTTGTGTGTCTTAAATAAACACCAAATGGTACCGACCTGGCTGGTTGTCCCAGGAAGCTGGTGGCGGCTTCCAGTTTTGGCTGCTGTGTCCCGGAAGCTAACCGAGCTGAGGGCTGCAGGCACACACCCCTGTGCTTTCATGCAAATGTGTTTGTATTTATGGGTTTCCTCTGGCTCTAGGGCCCTGGGTTCTCAGTGGCTCGCAGAGCCCCAGGTGACTCTGTGGGGTGTTGGGAGGAGGTGCTTCCAGCTGCAGTGTCTTAGGAGGGTGGGGGTCATTCTGGAAAAGCAGAGAGGTGAAGGCCTGGCCGGAAGGCGTGAGCCAAGGCCTAGAGGCAGCCGGACTAGAAAGAAGGACAGAGAAGAGAAAGTTAATGCAGCTCAAGCTTCAAGCAGACCTGGGTTCAAATTGCAGAGTAGCCAAAAGATGTCAGCATGTCAATCGTTCTAAGCCTGTATCCTCATCTGTAAAGTGGGGGCAAGGCCACGTGATGTCAGATGTAACTCCCATCTCATTGCTGTTTATCCCTGTCCTTGCCACAGAGGAGCCTGTGTCTGAGTTGTAGAAGCGACCACTCGGGAACCCTTGCCTACTTGGAGGAGGGGAGGGGAGCAGGGTAGGAGGAAAAGGTGAGGAAATGCCAAGTGGCTGGGCCGAGGCTGAGAGCCTGTGTTCCCTCCGACCACCTCAGTGTCCCCCCTCTCCTGCGTCCTACTTCTCTCCACCTCTCTCCCTCTGCTCCCTCTTCTGTCTCTGGGGCATAAGCCTTGGGACAGCGCCCTCCTCCCCCAGCCCCTCTAGTCCAGCCCTCAGCCCTTTGTCCTTAGAGGTGCCCGCCCCCTCCCCGCGCCTGATTGGCTGGCCCGAGCAGCAAACAGCTGACTTCCAGCAAGTTCCCTTTTCTGGGCTGAGGTACAAGTTTCCACAGCTGGAGAGGAGCCGGATGAATTGGGGTTGGTGTTGGCTGAGGATGAGGGAGCCCAGTTCTCCCCAGAGATCAAATGTCCCCCTCCCCTCTTCACCCACCATCCTCTGGGAAACATTGGTCGAATCCCTGCTGTGCAAAGAGCAGCGCAGGTCTCAGGGAATGCAGCATAAATACAAACACATGGCCTGGGGGATGCTGGGACTGGACTGGGGGAGCCCAGAAGAGGCACCTGGACCCCCGTTCCCTTCCATCCCTGCAGCACACACAGCCCCCACCCCCTCGCACACACACAGGCTGTCCAGGGTGAGCTTAGAACAGAAATACAGGGTGTTTGTACTCAGAGCCTCTCACCACCCAGCTCCGAGGCAGAGCTTTGCACCAAGCCCCAGCCTCCTCCCGGGAAGAACAGGGAAATAAGACTTCATATCAGCCAGAGGTAGTGGGGGGGGGTGGGGGGAGAACATGGTGCCGGAATCAGGGGCTTGCGGTTTGAGCTCCACTCTGTCACTCACATTCCATGGAACCTCCGTACATTTCTCTCTCTCTTTTTTTTTTTTAATCCTCACCCAAGGATATTTTTCCATTGATTTTATTATTTATTTATTTATTTGGAGCAGTGGTTCTCAACCTTCCTAATGCCACGACCCTTTGATACAGTTCCTCATGTTGTGGTGACCCCCAACCATAAAATTATTTTTCGTGGCTATTTCATAACTGCCATTTTGCTACTGTTCATGAATCGTAATGTAAGTGTCTGTGTTTTCCGATGGTCTTAGGCTCCACAGCAGCGGTTCTCAACCTGTGGGTCGCCTAAGACCATCGGAAAACACAGATACTTACAGTATGATTCATAACAGTAGCAAAATGACAGTTAGGAAGTAGCCACGAAAATAATTTTATGGTTGGGGGACACCACAACATGAGGAACTGTATCAAAGGGTCACGGCATTAGAAAGGTTGAGAACCACTGACTTGAGGGAAAGGCAGAGAAATATCGATGTGAGAGAAACACATCTATTGGCTGCCTCCTGCATGCTCCCTGACCAGGGCCCAGGCCAGGGAAGAGCCTGCAACCGAGGTTTGATCAGAAGTCAAATCTGGGACCCTTCGGTTCCCACGCTGACGCTCTCTCCACAAGCCAAACCAGCTAGGCAGTGGTTGGCAAACCACGGCTCGCGAGCCACATGCGGCTCTTTGGCCCTTTGAATGTGGCTCTTCCACAAAATACCACGTGCTGGCGCACACGAACAGTGCAATTAAAACTTCGTGGCCCATACTCAAAAGTCGGTTTTTGGCTCTCAAAAGAAATTTCAATCGCCGTTCTGTTGATCGTTGGCTCCGTTGACTAATGAGTTTGCCAACCACTGAGCTAGGGCCTCCATCCGTGTCTTCACTGGGCCTCAGGTTCCTCATTTGTAAAACAGGATCATGAATCCCTGCTTGCTTGTGGAGCGCCTGGCTCTGGGAGCCCATCAGGCCTGATGCTGGGCACCCTATGGTGCATGGCAGAGCCCAGGGAAGGCTGGAGGCTGGGCCTGAGAGGCTCTTCCAGCAGCCTGGGCTGAGGAAGCAGCTGTCTGCGAGGCTCAAGGCCTGTTCCCAGAGTTGGGCAGGTGCCAAGCCTGACCGGCTGCCTCAGGAAATGCTTCTCATGGCTTGGCTCAGAGCCACACTTTCACTGGGATCGGAGGTCCGAAAGCAGGCAGGCCTGCCCCGCCCCACCTGCCGCATAGGTACGGGAAAGAGCCGTGAGTTTGACCCCCTGCAGGGTTGCTGGGAACATCCCACCCCATTGGAATGTGGGCCAAGCAAAGCAACACGGACATGTCCCCTCTGCCAGGTTCTCACCAGCAGGACTCAGCCCCGACTGTTCATTGGAACTCAATGCCCAGGTGTCACAGGTCTAATAACATGGTGAGCTCTGAAGGGGGATCAGTATTTTTTAAATCTCGGGGGAGGGTCCAATCTGGCCAGGATTGGGGACCAGTTGGGTGACATTGAGAATCTGCATGTTGTCCAGACATCCATCCAGGGGAAGCCAGGAATCCTGCTCTGAGCAGGCCCCAGCCTGGAAGGCAAGATCACCACCCAGCCCCTGTGCTGGGCAGGATGTAACTCAGAGGCCCCCAGCCCTAGGCTGGCCACTAGCCCAAGATTGGTGAGAGGGGGCTGGGCCAGGCTGCAGCACCCTCTGGTGGTCGGAGGACGCAGACCCCGGAGGACTCCCTCTGCACAGGAATAGGGCTGGGGTTTTCATCTATCTCCTGTCATTAGTCCCTGGGGAAAGCTCCTGCAAGGAACTGCTGGAGGGCCATGTTGCAGAAACTCAGAGACACGGAGGTTACACATCTGGACAGCTCCCCCAACATTGAAAGGCTCTCCGGGCTAGTCCATATCTCAACCCTGTTCTCTGGCACTCACCCAACATTATAGTCGCATTTCCGTAACCTATTCTTTCTTAAGGTGGGAATAACTGATATGAGCTGGGAGGTCCCTGTTTTCTGCTGGTTTTAATGGCAGGAAGTAAGGGGGTGTGCGGCATTTGCCTGGGTGGGAGGGGCTCGTGGGATTCAGGACTCCCACTAATGCCCTTGGCCTCACTCCTGTGGGCTGGGGGTTTATACTTCTGCAGCCCAGCAGGCATCTACCTCCTTCTCCTCTTTCTCCTCCTCCTCCATCCTGACTGTGATCTTACATAGAGCCCTGTGTGAGTCCCAACCACCCTCCCAGGCACCTCATCTCCTTGGGGCTGGGGAGGGGGGAGGAGGCACACAACTGAGAACAGGGAACCTGGTAGCAAAGAAGGGGCAGAAGGCAAGAAAGTCTCCCAAACGTGTGAGCCAGGCCTGAGGCATGCGGCTTGGACCCTCCCTGGGTCTTTCCCGTGATGGAATTCAAGGCTCACTACCTGGGGGCCTCAGCAAGTTAGAGCTTTGGATGTTTAATGCAGCCCCCAAATCGAGCTTCCTAAGCGCCTTAGAAGACCCAGCCTCTCTTTTTCTGCTTGAAGCACGCGCCCTGAAGGCCCTCCTAGCTGCTGCTCAGGAGGTGTTTCTCCTTTTCCGCCTGAGGCGGGCGTGTGGCTTCTGTTGGTTTCACCGGTGGCGGCTGGCGTGCGGGCTGTGGGTGGGGCAGCCGTGCTGGGCTCTGTTCCCCAATTCACGCATTCCTTCCTGCACACGTGCCCGGTCTGTGCCGGGGGGCAAACTCCGGTGGAGTGTCCAGACCTGCAGGGCGCGGACATCAGGCCCGGGCTCTGGCTTCTTCCGAGGAAGAGAGCAGCGGCCGGGGGTGCAGAAAAGGCCTGGGGTTCCACCTGGAAAGTTTTGCCTCTTTGGCAAAACTTTTTCTCCACCTGAAGAAGGTAAGGGAAGCCATTAGAGGTTCATAGGCTCGGCAGGGGTGGAGGGTGGAGTGGTCTTGGATGCTTGTTTTCATCTTCGTGCTTTATGTTCAAAATGTTTCCTAACTTTTCAAAAGTGTTTTTTTAAAGAGCAAGGAGGCGTTCTGTCCCTTGACCTGACTGCTGGGTACCCAGTGTCCCTTTAAAATGCT